ACCCATGTGAGATTTGAGTGTTTGAGAGACAAAAGAGCTAACTGACTTGTTGCTGGTCTGGCCATACCGGACTGCATACCGGACGTGTCCGGTATTTGCCCAATAACTGTAAAAGTGTTGTTCTCGGGTTGGTTCGTCAGGAGTTCTGACGTATATCGGGAGTAGCGACGGTCGGAAGTTCCGACAATGGTCGGGAGTTCCGACGACTCGCAATTTAAATAATTTGGAGAGTTCACTGTCCAGGTCATACCGGACGTGTCCGGTATTCATACCGAACGTGTCCGGTATGGACGACCAGAGGTCAACGGCTAGTTTTCCAAAGCCTTGAGGGTCGGGAGTTCCGGCATGCATCGGGAGTTCCGACACCTCACTAACTTTAACTCAGTTACATGGTTTTCAAATTTGCTGAGGATCGAGAGTTTCGACGTGAGTCGGGAGTTCCGGCGGTCGGGAGTTCCGACATTCATCGGGAGTTCCGACGCCTCACAACTTCACTGTAACTTAGTTACCGTTGGAGCAGTGTAAGTCATACCGGACGTGTCCGGTATGCATACCGGACGTGTCCGGTATTGCAACGGCTATAAAACGGCTAGTTTTTCAAGGGAGCTATAAATACCCCCAAGCCTCCACCTTTGGAGGCTGCTGATTCTGCTGAGATAGACACATGTTTTTTGAGCCTTGCCAACTCTCCCAACCCTCTCTTAGTGAGTGTCTGATCCAAATTACAAAATCAATTTGTGGGTTAAGAGAGAATTTGAAAAAAAGAGCAAGCCACCACTTGAGCACTTGTGCATATTGTCAATCTTGTGATTCACATTTGTTACTCTTGGACTCTTCAGTCCTAGACGGTTAGGCGTCGCCGGAGAGCACCCGAGAGATTATGGTGTGCCTCGGAAAGTTTGTAACGGTCGATTCCGCCGCCTCAGAATCATTTAGTGGAAGGAGGAAAAGGAGTTGGAAAAGACTCCAGCTAGAGTGACCTTCGTGGTACCCTCTAGGGCTGACCTTCGCTGGGTCGCCCGCAGCCCCCTCAACGAAGAGTAGGACTCGAACGAGTCCGAACTTCGGTAAAACAAATATCGTGTCTCAATTCGTATTTTATTTGATATTTGTGTTGCTCTAGCTATTCTGCAGGTTCTCTGTGTATATTACTATCTCTAATAGTTTTCTGCAGTTTGGTTTGAAGATAGAAATCGAAAGGAGCAAGTTCGGAGCCGATCTGCAGAAATCGTGTATACCGGACACGTTCGGTATTCATACCGGACACGTCCGGTATTTCATGCCTACACTGAAAATATTTATTCTCTGTTCTAACTTGGTGTTGCAGGGTTGTAGCTTCTAGATATATTCTTTTTACCTTGTTTACTCTGTGGCTAACTTGTGAGGGGTGGTAGTACTCTTAATTTGGAGTTTCCATTTTAGAAACTCCCCTTTCTAATTGTTTCCGCATTTAAAGGTGTTAATTTTCAGAAACGCCTATTCACCTCCCCCTCTAGGCGACATCCTAGGTCATTTCATGTCATAAATGTCATAAATGGAGATCCCCACTCCAACTAAAAGCAAAGGCAAAGTCGAAGATGCCGATAGCGATCCCTCTACTCAAAATGTTGGCGAAGGCAAAGTCATCGATGCCGATGGCGACCCCCCACACTAATTTGGTGGAGAAGGTGGCGTCAATTACATCAAAGCTGATGGCAAAGCCCCTTGCCAAAATGTTGACGAAGATGTAGCCAATGATGTCGAAGTTGGAGTCAAAGCACCTCGCTGAGACGTTGGCGAACACGTTCTCGATGATGCTAAAGTTGATGGCAAAGCCTCTTGCTAAAATGTTGATGAAGACATTGTTGATGACAATGAAGTCGTTAGCAAAGCACCTCGCTGAAATGTTAGCGAAGGTGTTCGATGACATCGATGTCAGTGACGAATCCCTTTGTCAAAATATTGGCAAAAGTAGTGTTGTTGATTGCCAAAGTCAATGGCAAAAAGTCCCTCGCCGATATGTTAGCGAAGGCGTAGTTGTTAAAGCCGAAGTAGATGGCGAAGCACCTCATCGATAGGTTGGTGTAGGTGGTGTCAAGTTAGCCATAGTCGGTGGTGAAACTACTCACTGATATGTTTGCAAAGGCGTTGTTGGCAACATCTGAATCAGAGGCGAGTACCTTTTTCCAAAAATGTTGGATTGGTTGGTGTCAAGTTTGTCGAAGTCAATGGCAAAACCCTTCATCAAAATGCTAGCGAAGGCGTAGTTGATGACGCAGAAGTCGATGGCGAAGCCCCTCGCTGTAACTCGACCAAAGTCTCAAACAGAGGGTACCGAACTTTCAATAGTGAAGTGGGGAGTGAAAGCAAGAAAGAATGATGGAATTCTTGGAGAAGTGTCTTGATGAGATCTAGTACTTTAGTGCTGGCATGATTGCTTTGGTGTCTTGTCATGTTCCTTTTTATGGGGTGAAATGGGCGAGAGGCAGCGAAGAAAGCCCCTCGACTTTTTAGATTACTTTGGCACTAATCTTGTACCTTTTGGGGCGATGGGATGAGTAGTCATGAAATGAGCCCCTTAGCGCTTTTAGAATATTTTGGTGCAAACCCCCATACCTTTTGAGTCGAGGGGCTAGAAGTAGCGAAATGAGCCCCTCGGCGCTTTTATATTACTTTGGTGCCGAGCCCCATACTTTTTGAGGTGATAGGGTGAGGAGTCACAAAATGATGCCCTCGACACTTTTAGATTACTTCAGTGCCAAACCCCATACCATCTGATCCGAGGCGATGGGGCGAGGTAGGTGAAAGCCCTATGTTTAGTTTTGGCAATTAAGACAACCCGTAGACTAACCTTTTTGCTAAGTGTGTGGTTAGGTCCACTCCAAAATAGAGAGCAAGGCTTGAATATAGATGAAGAGTGATCAATCCAATTGGATCAAGCTCTCACTTGGAAAAGAGAAAAGAGAAGCAAAGTCTAAGATGTGAAGCCAAAGGTATAAATAGGGATTTTGTTTTGCCACCAAGACACAATAGAATGTGTGATCGGATTTATGATAGATAGTCATACTATTAATAGGGGAGCTCTAATTAGCAAATAAGGTTATCTAGTGCCACCGGGTGTTTGATCTACATGCATTTGCATTTTGGCCTAAGTGATAGCGGCGAGTAAGCAAAAATATTTTGAAAAACACTTTGAAAAATATTATCTCAAGGCTTTTGGCAAAACATTCGAGAGTTAACACGCTTGCGAAGAGAGGAAGTTGTGCTCTCTGTGCAGCATTTTTACTTGCACCGGACGTGTCCGAGATGTGCCACTGGCTGTGGCACCGGACGCGTTGGCTTGTGGTTAAACTTAGCCAGCATTTTAGCCGAGCACACCGGACGCCCGGCCACAGGACAACTACAGTGCGTACTGTTCATGCGCTGATTAAATTCCCAAGAATGACGAGTTCAGCTAAAATTCACCGGACATGTCCGGGTTGGGCACTAGATGACGCACCAGATAGGGGTTCAATGAGTTTGTTTTTCGGAGAATCAGCACTAACATTAATCGGACGTATGCGGTCTGCCATCGGATTGGTCGCTGGATTGCTACAGTGGCCAACGGCTATTTTTACGGCGGTTGGAATTTGACCGTGGGGGCATCTGGTGCACACGCACTGGCGGAACCCGGGGTGGCCATACAGTAAATTTTTTTAAATACCTTATAAATATTTCAGTTTTAAAGCACAAAAACTATCATTTCACTTATTTTTTATGATAACATTATGACTTTTCGGTATGAATACTACATATATACGTAAAAGCATTGAAACAACTATTGAAATATACACATGATGTATATATTTATCACATTTATAAGGTGTCATTATATTGTCTGCCCCCCCCCCTCCATTAAAAGTCCTAGTTCTGCCTCTGTGCACAAGTCTAATGCCCCCGCAACGGCTGCTCCAAGCGGGTAACGGTTGAATTGGCTCGTGTGTCTATAAATAGACGGTGTGGCGGGCCTTGGTCACTCTCTCGGAACCTCATACATTCTCTTGAAACCTCATACACTTGCGCACATACTTGCATCCTTGCAAATCACATTTGTGTGAGATTATAGAGCCTCTAGTGTATTTGCATTGTCGTTCTTACATCTTGTGGCACTAGGTACAATTCGATGAGATCAATAGTGGAAGTGATAGTTAGGATGAAGAACCCTCAAGAAGGAACTCATCAAGCTATTGGAAGAGGCTCTTCCTGTCCGTGGATCAGTGGAGCCTCGACGTTTGTGGCATTGTCCCCTCCCATATTTACCCCAAAAGGAGCCAGAAGAGCACCTTCACTTTCAACATGGTCAGCCTGGAGTGGACCCACGCTGGCGAGTGGCTCATGCTGTTCAAATGCCGAGCCGACTTCGGGGGTGTTTGGTTCCACGAACTAAATTTTAGTCCCTGCCACATCGGATGTTTGAACACTGATTTAGAGTATTAAATATAGACTAATTACAAAACTAACTACACAGACTGAGATTAATTTACGAGACGAATCTATTAAGCCTAATTAGTCCATGATAATGTGGTGCTACAACAAATATATGCTAATGATGGATTAATTATGCTTAATAAATTCATCTCGTAAATTAGTCTCTATATGTATAATTAGTTTTATAATTAACTCATGTTTAGTCTACCTAGTTAGCATCCGAACGTTCGATGTGACAGAGACTAAACTTTAGTCCCTAGATCCCAACCACCAACCTCCCCCCTTCGATCATGAAATGGACGCCTCGCGCCGGCTCTGCCACTATGAGGAAGGAGCAAGACGTGTCTGCTCAGCGATGGAGCCAGCAGTGGGGCTAGGGGGGGCTCTAGCCCCCCTACCGATCTTGGGCACGTGGAGCCCCCCTAAGCCATCTCTTAAAATTTTATGTATATATGTATTAAGTAGGAGGAGCTAAAATTAAGAGAAGATAAAAAACCATCTTTTTTTTCGGTCCCTCCTAATTTTTTTTCTCGCCCGCGGCAGGGTGTGAGACCATGCCCACCTGGAAGCTCGGTCGAGACGTGTTCTTTGGAAAGCTGTCGGTGCAGCTTATGGGAGCCACGCTTGTGGACAGAGGGCAACAGCGGATTCTGTTTGGTCGAGAAGCGGGATCGGGCGTCGTCGACGGATCCGCACGCATGCTCAAGACCACCTCCTTTTTTCTCAAGTACGGCAAGGATGGAGACCTCCGGACAACTCACCATCGCGCCTAGCCGCCTACGCATACGTTGAGTACCGGCTCATACATGAACTTGTTGACCGGGTACACAATCCTGTGGCGTTCTGGATGTAGGTCTTGCATTGATTGGCGCACTTCCAACTTGGAAGCTGCTCAAGTAGACAGGGAACGTCTCTCTGTGGTTAAATTCAGCATTTGCAATATGGCAGAACGGTTTATGCACAAAACAAGTTTTATAAAGAATATTTTATTCAACTAAAATACATTTTTGCTATTTTAGTATAAAATCTTAATTACAGCTAATTTCAAATAAAGTTAGTCAACCAAAGTATTCCCTATGTTCCGCTTTATAAGACGCAACTCAGAATAATACGGTCTCCTAAACTATACTTTGATTATTCATTTATTTTATATATTATATTATTTATGCATATATAAACTTATAGTTATTGGATAGTGCATTTTTTAGAAATCTAATCATACCAAGTTTGTATTTTAATAGTAAAAGATATTTAGGTAAATTATCGATAAAAACAAGGAGGGACTAATTCAAGTTGCTTCGGATTTCTAGCTACCTACAAACTGCACGTTTCCTCAGTTAATTAAGTTTTTTACTCCGACACATGGAACAGTGACTGTTCAAAGAAGTAACAGGATAAGTTAGTGTGACTGCGACGAGAAAGGGGGTCTGGAGCCTAAGTTCGCCACCACTAGGCTCCGCCACTGCTGGTAGCCCCACACTACTTCATTATGAAGGCAATAAATCTTCCATACAGAGTGCAATTGAGGCAAATGAGCACAATTTATCCATCCAAAAGTTGTGTTGGTACATAAATGTCGGGGTTATGACCTCAGGGTGTCTCAAGGCGCTGATTAGTTGGCAGGCCACACGGCCCGTAACGCATCAGGTTAACAATGGCCCGAACGACCAAGGCCCAGCTAGGATGAGCACGCCAAGCCTACGCCTAGGTCAGGGTCGGCCGCGACCCTTTCTCCTGCCTTAACCACACGAAAGACGCTCGACCTCTCCCCGTCATGACCCCTGGACCTCATAAGGACCAAGGGGACGACAGTCACCACGGTCTGGTCAGACGTTATCCCTGTGCCATGCCGCACCAATAAGATAACACCGCATAGCGGTTGCCACGGGTACGATGCCCACCGTCCAAATACGGACCGACAGGACGCGTGTACGATCCCACCCACAACGGGATGGGATCCATGATAAGGGTCTCGACCTGGAGACCTCCCTGGTAGGCGAAGAGCTCCAACCCCAACGATCGGGGTCGTGGCCCTCAGCCCCACGAAGCGACTAGGTGAACAACGACCTAGGGCGGCTACCTAGTACGGGTACGACGCCCTAGGAAACCTGAAGACGACGACGAAGACCATGACGCCGTGTTGCATAGGACAGCTGACGAACCATCACCGTTGAAAGAATCAAGATGCCCAAGAGGGGGGGGTGAATTGGGCTAATTCTAAATTTCTTGCAATAATTAAGCCCTACACTTAGCCCATTTCACCCTCTTGTGCCTAGAAGTGTTTCTATTGTTCTATCGCACAAAAGTTTTGCACACTAGATTCCAATCCTACTCTAGCATGATAATTCTAAGAATGTAAAGACATGAATTGAATTGCTCAAATGTAGATGCTCAGGGTAAAGAGAAGGAGAGGATCGCCGCAATGTTTTTCTGAGGTATCAGAGAGTCACCACTCCACACTAGTCCTCGTTGGAGCACCCGTGCAAGGGTGTAGCTCCCCCTTGATCCGCACAAGGATCAAGTGCTCTCTACGGGTTGATTCTTCGATACTCCGTCGCGGTGAATCGCCCACAACCGCTCACACCATGACTTGGGCCATTCACAAGCTCCTCCGAATGATCACCAAGCTTCCAATCACCACCGAGCCGTCTAGGTGATGGCAATCACCAAGAGTAACAAGCACGAACTCTCACTTGACCCAACCAAGCCTAATGAGAAGAGTGGATGCACACTTGCTACTGTCTATGCACTAATGAGGTCCTTAATATTGGATTAGCAAATCTCACTCATCTCACTAGGCTCTTGCTCTCCCTTGCACACCAAATGGTTTCCTCAGCTGAACAAATGGGCAAGAGAGCTAATTGGATGAGTAGGAAAAGTATTTATACTCCCCTATTCAAAACATGACCGTTACTGTCTAACTTAGCAAAACAAGAGGTGACCGTACGTGCAGGTCAGTACACTGTAGCTACAATTAGCCGACCTTGTCAAAGAGAGCCGTTGGAGTGACATGACGTTGACCAGCATTCGGTCAACGTCCACCAGATGTGTCTGGTCAGAAATTTTGGTCTCTGGACCCTCTCTGATGTCGACCTAACGTTGTAAGCTTAGAGTCTAGTCGTTGACTGTTCAGCGTCAGATCCTCCCTAACAGCGAGGCCCCATTGCTACAGATACGACTAGAGGCGTGTCCGGTTCTAATCACTATGCAGCGTCTGGTCACTCCTCGGCTTCTGCTGCGTGTGCTCATCATTGACCGGATGCAGCATCGGTGAGTCCGGTCATCACCAAACCAATGTCCGATCAATATTTTGACCCTCCATTTACTTTCAATTTAAAATCCTATGTGAATGAGGTTCACTCCACTTGATCTTTGGGCTATTCCTGAGCTACCTAGTGCTAAGTTTGACAAGTATGCACCACACCTAACCCATTAGACTCACCTAGGTCAAGCTACTAGTTCATACCCCCTTAATAGTACGGCCAAAGGAAAAACCAAGTCCTAAACTACTTTAAGTGTCTCTCTAACGCCAAATGATACTTAGAACTAGTCCGTCCTTAATCTTGTCATCCATCCTTTGAAAGCCAAAACGATTTTCATTGATAGGGGCATGAAAACTATAATTGCCCAAACGATCATCATTACCATGACCTAACTCAAATTGCCTCTTCAAAACACACGTTAGCCACAGTAATCTTGTGTAGTCATTAATCACCGAAAACCAACTAGGGGCCTAGATGATTTCAATCTCCCTCTTTTTGGTGATTGATGATAACACTACCTTGAGTATGTGTAAAAGAGATGGGTGAGGTTTTCAACATGCTTAGTTCATATAAGTATTTGACAATGAGAACAAGGGGGTTAGGCATGCTTATATGACCCAAGCCAACACAAAGTACTCATAAGATATGAATTAAGCATGAGTACGAAATATAAAGCTCATTTGAATAGAAGTAGAACGCGGAAGCTAAGCATATGAGCATAACCAAGTGACATGATATAAATATATCAAAGTAGAGAGCACACATGTCACATAAGTCTCACAATCACACACATATCACATATATCACATTGCATGAAGTAAACGTGAATGCATGAAGTAGCACATAAAAGACGAGTCCATCTCACACACTCCCCCTAAGTCTAACATACTCGCTCCCTCTCCCCCTTTGGTGTCAAGCACCAAAACCTAAGGGTCGGATGGCAAGATAGGAGCAGACGAGTCGGGCGCTGAGGTACGGTGAGAAATCTAAAACTGAGTTGCATCATTCTCGTACCCTAAACTCTGAGCAGTCAGACCCTCTAGAGCGGGCTCAAGCGTACCCTCTGTCACTAGAAATGGAGGTGAAACGGTCTGGGTCTGCTCGGTGGATCCGGTAGCTAGGTCGGCCTATGGAGGCTCTAAAGCTATGGTAGTAGCCTGACCCTATGGCTTAGAAGGTGTCTTTGTAGGAAGTGGAGCCACAACTACCGATGTCTCTATCGCTAAAGCCTCAAGTGTGGGAGTGACTATCAGAGGCGGCTCAGACGAAGCAACATAAGATGGGATTGTCTCGGTAGTCCCTATGATCGGAGCGGCTGTGGTAGGAGCAAGAACTCGGAACTCAAGAGGTGTAGGCTCTCCTGTGAGCTCACTAAAAGTAGCATCCAAACTCCTAAAGACTAGAGTGTCTGTCACTAGCACTGACTTATACTGAGGAGTAAAGCCCGTAACTATAGGAGTGTAGTGCTGAGCCTGCTCTGTCTGTGGTGAAGTGAACCACTAAGACACCTGTTCGGTAGGTGAGGCAAACTGTGTAGCCAGCTGTCCCTGACTTTGAAGCCCACTGGGCTGTATAGTTGGAGTCGCTAGGGTAGTGGTAACAGTCTAACCGATCTGCAACGTGGGCTGGAAAGGAGCAATTCCTATAGCCGAAAGAACATGCTACATCAAACCAAGAAGCTATTGCTGAGTGACTAGCTGCTGCTACTGAATGGACTACTATTGTTGCTGGAACTGATCCTGACATGCCTACACCTGAGCAATGGCAGCTGCTGTCTCTTATGCCTGACGAGCCTGGTCCTATTGCATGCGCTCCAGTATCACTGGCAAGACGGGGTCTGTCTACGGTGGCTATGGTGGAGCTGAGCTGGAGCCACTGGCCTCTCTGTCATGTGCACGTGCTGGCATATACGAGATAGGCCGGTAGTCCTCGTCTGAGCTATTAGTCGGGTCGCTCTCGACCATGTCCTCCTGTTGTGCCTCTAGTTGCTCTAGCTCGGTCTCGGCAATGGCCCTGATGGCCTTGTCCTGCTCAGTTATAGCCTCTAGCACCTCTGGTCTATGGCTCGGCTAGCTAGGAGTCCTCCCACGACTATGACATAATAGCTGGCTCATGCCATACTTTGGGAACTCTGTAGTAGCACCACTCCACTCAGCCACTGTCTCTAGGGACATCTATGAAACTACCTTCCAAATAAGAAAGGTGGTCCAGTGAGCATATGACAACTAACGATGGCCCCTGAAACCCTTTGCTAAGGTGTCCTCCATCTCTGAGAGCATCACATCCTAAATATCAAACACAGTCTGAGAGATCAAGTGGAGGACTAACCAAAGCTAAATATGTGTCAATCCCTCACGATAGCCACCCCTCGGGAGCAAAGACCTCCTCATGACCGAGTCAAGGATATGAGCTATAGGTGTAAGGTCACATGGGGTGTGGCTCGATCCCTCTCCAAATGGCTTAGTGAAGCAAGCTCTAACTAAGTTTGTGGGTGGTATCCGTCCACCGTG